GATAAAGTCGACAAAGGTAGAATGGGATTAGCTTGATGTTTTAACTTGTTTGATGATTCATGTAGGCAAGAAATCTGAGAAGTGATTTTTCATAAAATCCTCTGCCATTGGACTTCATTTTTTGTGCCCTGAGACTATTCTAATTTCTTTGTTCCATCCTGCCCAACACTAACCAACCCACAGTCAACTAACCATGCCTTTTTAGGCTCCTCCTCCTCTTCTTCCTCATGCTCTCCCAAACAACCTAGGTCAGTATTCTGGATCAAGTGAGCAGGAACCTTCCAGTTGGTTCTATTGAATCTTGTCCAATTTTTTCCCCCTTTTCTGCTAATTTTGAGATTCCCTCATGTTTGCTTCTCTCTTCAGTGGTGCCACTGGGCATATATAAAGACCCATTTGGAGAATGAGTTTGAAGCCTTTGCCATACTTGGGCCTGGAAGATATTTAAATTAGAGTTTTCATAATCCTCTAACAATTGGCCTTGCTCATTTTGATCAATAAGACATGAAGTGTTCTAATATCTAAGGGGCTACCACAAAGAAGAGGGAGTCAACTTATTCTCTAAGGCACCTGAAGGCAGGACAAGAAGCAATTGATGGAAACTAATCAAGGAGAGAAGCAACATAAAATTAAGGAGAAATTTCCAGACAGAACAATTAATCAGTGGAACAACTTGCTTCCAAAAGTGGTGAATGCTCCAACAGTGGGGTTTTTTAAGAAGAGATTGGACTATGATTTGTCTGAAATGGTATAGGATTTCCTGCCTGAGCAGGGGGTTGGACTAGAAGACCTCCAAGATCCCTTCCAACTCTGTTATTCTATTAAATATTGGACACGTATTTGGTACAGAGCTATTCATATTTTTCCTCCCAATGCAAAGGGTGTTCTGGGTTCCCAGTGTTCAGGTGCCTTCAAAACCAAGATTCAAAAAATTGCTTGAGGAATTGGAGAGAACTTGATTGAGATGCTCAGCATTTTTGTCACACCATATATTAATTTTACCAGCTCATCTTGTCTGTTGTTATTTATTAACTATATATTCAGGTTAGCCCTCTATTATGCTGTGTTCATAAGGGTAGTTCTTTTAATGTGCTGAGCCTGAAGATCCTTCCCTAGGGCTCCCCAAAAGCTGTCCTGTGGGCAGTGTGATTTGACAGAAAGAACAAATGATATCAGGACATACACTTTATTTTCCCAAGCTTCACCTCTAGTGACATTTGGCCTCTTGGAGGAGATGGAGATTGAATCATATGCTTTCCCTGCTCCTGTCCCACTGGTTTCAGCTTCTTGATATAGAGACTATCCTGGTGGAAGGCAAACTGATGTTGGTAAAACAATAAGATTGCAAAAGCAGCTATATATACTCTTCCAAATAGCAGTGTAGATGTATGAGGGGTAATTTATAAAACATGTCACTTTTAGTTTTTTAATCTTTGTAGAATTAAACTCTGGTCTTAAACTAACAGGTTTTGTGGGGTTGTAATCATTAACATTCTCTGATTTTTTTAAAAACATCATTTATCATTTGCAATGATAAATCACCAATTTCTTCTTCTCTCCAAAATTTGATTTCCCACAAATTAATCTGTGAGTTAAACTGGATTAGCTAAATATGGTTGTGTACCATTTGGGAAAAGAATTGTTAGATGTACATCTCAAAGAATATGTGCTAATAAGCATCTAAGAGTGCTACAAAATCATTGTTAGTCACTATTCAATGAGTCATTTATTGAAATATTGGGAATTATGTCAATTAGGCTATTCAAAGTGGGTGTTGGACTGTTTATTGGGTGCCTCCCTGCTAGAGCTGGTAATGAATTATTGCAGTTACAATTCTACAGTTGCACCTGGCTTTTAGATATACTGATTTTTTTAAAAAAATAAATAGCTTCCCTTCTTCCACATATTTTATCACAGATATGTGGTAATGTTTAACAAAATTTTCCATTAAGATGGAATTTAAAAATCAATAATTATAACAAGGGACATTATCATTTTAAAGCCAAATCCATGATAGTTTTGCTAACCCTAGATTATGTATCACTGAGAGAAGCCAAGGGGGTAGTTCTGCTGAAGTTCCTTTATTTTTTCTTTTAAAAACTCCTTTGCTTTCAGAAGAAACAACTATTTAACAGCTTAACATGTTCGGGGATGCAATTTATTTTTCTTCTTGTGTATGTATCATTCCTCTGTATTAATAAAGCAGATGTATTAAAAAGTAAGATAAAATAAAAGCGGATAAATTTAACTTAGGGAAAGATACACTCAACATCCTGAATGAGGATCACAAAGCAAGCAACTCTAGAACTAATAAATGTTTTGAAAACCTTAGTGCACCACCTACTGACCAATTTAATATAAAACTTTTCTTTTTCTTATTCTAATACAGAAGACCAAACCAAGAAAGCTTGTTCCCAAATACTCATTTTTAAACAGCAGATTGACCAATATTTGAAGCAGGGTAGAGATAAGCAAGTTTTGGCACTTCTGTGCCAAATTTATGGGTTGTGATACTTGGAACAACATTCCTTAGTGGATACTTAGCAGTTGACTAAGGAGCTTTCAACATTTCATCTAGTAATCTCTTGTGATCTTCCTCCCTCTCTTCCTACATTTTAAATCTGGGAATAATATACAGGCTGATTTGAAAACATTTCTGCTATCAAAAATAAAGCAACTGTTAGCATGAAAAAGGAAGATATCAGAAAGGCAGAGATATTAAAATACACCATTAAATTTGCACAGAATTGGTTTAAACATACGCCCAAATTCAAGCTAGATTCTGTAAAGACAAACGAGAGTATTGTATCTACCAAACGACACACCCGCTGGATAGATGACTTCTTGTTTCGTGTTGAAACAAAATTTATATCTAAGACCTATAATCTTTTGCTATCATGGTATACAGCTGAGGAGATAGTAAAACATACGATGATTGCCTGGGAGAGAAATTTAGGAAGACCAATGCAACTTGAAGAATGGCAGGGAATATGGAATAGATCAATGAAATTGACACTATCAGCGGCATTTAAGGAGAACTTTTACAAAATGTTTTATAGGTGGTACCTCCCACCAGCTAGGATAGCTAAAATGTTCCCTGGATCTTCAGACAAATGTTGGAAGTGTAATTCGGCCAGGGGTACTTTTTTTCACCAGTGGTGGACCTGCCCTCAGATTAGGAAATTTTGGGAAAAGATTCAAAAATGGTTGAACGAGATAACAGATGCAAGTTTCCCCCTAACTCCAGATTCTTACTTACTCGGAATCAAGCTAAAAGACGTGGGCAAACAAGATTGGCACCTATTCATCCATATTACAACAGCAGCGAGAATGGCACTGGCCTAGCAATGGAAAAATGCAAATACACCATCAGATCAACTTATAATAAATAAGATATTGAACTGTGCTGACTTGGACAAATTAACGTATATCCTAAGAGAGAAAAAGTAACTGGGAACACTGGTATATATGGCTAAAGAAGAGGACAAACATAGAGTAAACAATATAATATTAAATATAAACTTAGTTATAATTAGATAGTGTTTGGTATTCAAAATAGTCAATGTTATCTGAACGAAAAGATCTACCAGGATGTAACTATGAATAGGTATCTGGGGGATCGTTATGACCCCCGGTTAGTCTTTCTTTGTGGTTGTCTTTATGTGTTGTGTTGTGTGTGTACCCATATATATATATGAGATATATATATATATATATATATATATATATATATATATATATATATATATATATATATATATATATATATATATATATAATATCTGTTTGATAATTACAGTATATGTTTTTTTATTTGTAAATAATTAATAAAGATCAATTTTAAATTAATTAATTAATTAATTAATTAATTAAGCAACTGTTAGCATGAAAAAGGAAGATATCAGAAAGGCAGAGATATTAAAATACACCATTAAATTGGCACAGAATTGGTTTAAACATTATTTTGCATCAGATTAGAGAGAAATGCAGACATAGTTCACAATGCAATGTATTGTCTAGTTCCTCATTCCTTGGTTTTAGGATTTTTTCCCCTCATTCAATCATATCCAATTCTCAGAGACCGCCTGGACAACTCCCTGCAGTTTTCCTAGAAAGATTTTTCAGAAGTGGTTTACCATTGTCTCTTTCCAAGGGCTGAGAAATAGAGACTGACCCAAGGTCACTCCAGCTGGCTTTGTGACTAAAGCAGAGTTAGAATTCATGCTCTCCTGATTCCTAGCTCTCAGGCTTAAGATATGGGTTTCCAAAAGATAAAGCATTGATGAAGGGGTTATAGATGGTCAATTAAGCTACGATAGTTGGGGCAACCTGTAGCTTCCACGTGTTCCTCAACTATTCCTCTTAGCATTCTTCACCATTAGCAGTCTCTGAGACACTTGGGATTTTATAGAATGACTAGCTGGATACCCATGCTTTGCTACTTATGACTATTTTCACACTTATGACCATTGCAGCATCCCCATGGTCTTGATAGACTCTCATTGTCATCATCATCAACAAAGTATATCTGAAGAAATAAAGGCTGCTGCTGAGGTCCTGCCATGATACTCTCTATCCTGTGGTAGACCTGCCTCTGCACTTTGAATGTTGGCATAAAATTTTCCTCCTTCACCTGTCTCCAAAAGGCGTCATTTTGAAGCATCTGTTGTACTTCTGGGCAGCAGAAAGACAGTATTTTCTCTTTAACTGATGTTACAGTAGAAGGAACAGGTCAGTGTAAGAAGTGAGTTGGGGCTGGGACACTATGCAGGAGAAATTCAGTTCAAAATCTGTTGGCTCAGTGGTGGTCAGTGATTGAAACACATAAGGGAATATTTCTCCCGCCGCCTTGAGTCCGGAAGCAGTTCCATAGGTGGAAGGCATAGACATTTTGGTGAGGTACCGAGTCGATGTTTAGTACTGTAAAGAGCCTGAGACTGCTCCTGAGTGAAGGAGTGGAATGTCTTCCAGTTTGAACTGAGGTAACGGAATGTGAGGCAAGTGGCAGTTGGAGCTTTTCAGGTGGGGAGGGTGAGTAGAACGTCTAACTCCTTAGCATCACAGTGTGTTAATATACTGTATATGAATATACTAATAATCTGATGGTCATTTCGAAAAATCCTTTGTTAGCGAGCACCTAGAAGCCAAGACGAACGTACGTGCCAAATTTCAAGTTTGTAGGCTTTACCGTTCTGGAGATTTCGTGAATGGATTTTGCTTTTATATATATAGATAAAGTTGCCAGAGGATATGAGACGTGCTACATTTATGAATTCAACTTAAGAGTCAATTAGTGTCTTACTCCCTGCTTCAATAGATTAGTGAAGGACAGTTCACCATATCCCTGTATTATGAACTCAGCTGTCAAAATTGCCTTAGCGTTAGGAAGGGTGTGTGTGTCTGCCATTCAACTGTAATGTACCTCTCTGTAATTTCAATTTCATTTCTTGTCCTCTGAGATGAACACAAAACAGGTCCAGGGTTTTAGTTTTGAAGAGTATGATCTTTACTCCTTAACTATTTTATTTCAGAGATTTAAAAAACCTAATTCCCTCAGCTTTTCCAGTTACTTGTTCAGGAGTATTGGTAGGGTCTGGTAAAAAAAAGTCAAAGTGGCAGCAGAATGGTACAGTTGAAGCTCTCCTCATTTTTATAGTGTCACAGGTGCATAAAGAGCACATCTAACACACCAGTCCTAGTCATCCTTATCTCTTCTTTGAACTCACTTGATTTGTTTAACTTTTTTGTAAGATCTTTGTAGCAAGCGTATCAGATTACTGACTCATATTTATCTTACTTCTGACTGCAATTCCATGATTCAGCACTTTCTGTGCTTCAACATTCTTTTGCCAAATTTCCTCAGTTTTCTCTCTGAAGTGATATCTATCTAATGTCAGCAGACCATCCTTTAGGTAACTGGGCTACATTATCTAGGTTGATTCATCCAAGTAATTTAGACCAGTTGTAATTTATCCGTATCTGGAGAGTCCTTCCATCTTGCCTTAAGGAATGTCACTCTGTAGAAAGGCTAAGGGGGAAAAGAAACCACTGATCTCTGTCACTTGAAGCAGTCAAATAGTTTTAACAAATGATACAGTAACCCTTGCTTATTGAATTGGATTATTTTATAAAGTCATTATTTGATTCACTGCATTATTGAAAATGGTTACACCTAAGTCCTGGTAGAGAGTATTTACAATCACCTGGATATTTCAGAGTGGATCTCAAAGTTCCACACATCAGAAACAAAGTGTTCCGAGAGGAAATATTTGTCATGGAAGTTAATAGCAAGATCTTTACAAACAACGTTCCTGCTGCAAACCTTTCTTTTAAAAAGATGGTAAATCTGTAAAGTATCCCTTAAGTAATTATGCTCTCATTCCCCATCTCCAAATAATATCAAATTGACATGATCACACTTTAAATAATTCAAACCATATTAACACTTAGTCCCATTGCAATTATTTTTTCCCAAGCCACATAAAGTACCACTGTCTTGCTATAAACAACAGGTGGTGTGCCTGCTTCTTTGCAAAGTGAGCATTCATCAGATAATTGGATAATTGAAGAGAAAATAATGTGTTGGTACTTTTCTACTATGTAATTAGCCTATTTATATGTGTTCTTTCTATATCAGCTTTTCCTATCAGGGAAGCTGATCTAATCACAAACTATTTCTCCTGATAAATAAAAAAATGTCATAAACTTTATGAAGTTTATATTCTAGAAATATGTCAAATCAAAACAAAGTAACATGTTTCTTTAAAACTGGATTGCACCTTTGGTTGTAATTTGTTCAGCCTCTGAGAACTGTCAGGGATGATTTAGTAATATAGATGGTGGAGTTTTGGTTTGTTATATTGAAGAAAGAAAAATGCAGTTTTAGGAAGCATGGTAATGATGGTAAGCAAAAGGAACCAGGAAAACCCATGGTTACTCCCCAAGATTGGTGCATCAAACTAAACTCAATCGGAATTATGGCTTCCCAGGTCTCTGTTTAAGATCTCAGTCTAATTGTAGTAATTTGGAAGTCCCTAGGATATGAAGGAAATGTATTTCATAAACAAGTAGCAAAACAGCCAAGTGGCCTGAGGTTGTATTTGTAGTTTGTATGGTACTTTTCTTTTTCAATGTTTAAAGATGGTTTTGCTAAAAATAAATGTCTGGACTATTGTAACGCTCTCTACATGGGGCTCCTCTTGAGGAGCACTCAGAAGCTCCAACTGGCGCAGAGTGCAGCCACGCGGGTGGTGATGGGAGTGACGTGGCGCTCCCATGTAACGCCTCTCCTGTGCGAGCTGCACTGGCTCCCGGTGGTCTTCCGAGTGCGCTTCAAGGTTTTGGTTATCACCTTTAGAGCGCTCCATGGCTTAGGACCTGGTTATTTATGGGACTGCCTGCTACCACCAATAGCCTCCCACCGACCAGTACACTCCCATAGAGAGGGGCTCCTCCGGGTGCCGTCGGCCAAACAATGTCAACTGGCGGCCCCCAGGGGGAGAGCCTTCTCTGTGGGGGCACCTACTATCTGGAACGAGCTCCCCCCGGAGATACGGAGGATCCCGGATCTGTGTACCTTCCATCGCGCGCTCAAGACATTCTTATTTCATCAAGCTGGCCTGACCTAAGTTTTTTTCCCCTTTTTAATGGAAATTTTAAATTTGGTTTTAAATTATTGGGGTTTTAAATTTGTTCAGCCAAATTATTTAATTCGTTTTATTCTATTTTAAATTTTGTATTTATATGTTTTATTCTATGGCTGTTCACCGCCCTGAGTCCTTCAGGAGTAGGGCGGTATACAAATTCAATAAAAGTAAAAGTAAAGTAAATAATGCTATATATTTTGAAACAAACAAAAATAGCCAAGTGATCTATGCTCTTTTACTTTCAAATCTACATAAAATAAAAACCATATTGTGTTCTGGCCAAAGATGTTTATCTCCAGAGTAGACAACATCTCCAGAAGTTCTCCACAAACCTTCAACCTACAGGTAATCCATCGGTTTCATCCACTCATTCAATGATCATTCAAACCTGTGATGGTGCTGAATAAGGGGGACTTATGACAGGTCCTTGGAGTTCTGGCCATTGCAGTATTCCTATGGTCATATGGTCACAATTTCTGAGATTCCCTGCTAATGTCCTCCAAGCAAAGTCAATGGGAAGCTTGCAAGAAGTTGGAAGCCTCAATGTGAGGTCCTTCCATCATGACCCACAAGGTCCTTGCTGAATAATGGTAACTGAGACTGACAGAATTGCCATTGCTAAGTGATGTGGTCATATGATCATGGTTTACGAGTGTGTTGCTTAGCAATGGCAATTCTGGTCCCAACTGTTATCATAGCCTGAGGACTACCTGCACTCTGTTAAGATTGGGCATGTATAGGAAAACAGAGCAAGAAATCCCATTGTGAATAAAGATTCATTCTCACAACTTTGGGTGGAGCTTAGGACATTATGTGTTACAGGAATATGCTCCTGATTTCATTAGTCAGCTGATTTTGTGAGAAAGAAAAAATAAATAAAATTGTCAAGGAGAATGGCAAGTTCTAAAATTCAGTATATATTTAGTTGTAAATTATAAGTTGTCAAAGTTCTGATCCTGCTGTTATGCTTGCTTATTTTAAATGGAAGTGTAACAGATCTTACAGCGTATTGCTATTAATATTTTTTTTTATTCTATGCATTCTTCTGGATTTAGACAGCTTTTTTTAAAAAAAAATGTATCATCATAAGATTTGGTAGTTCTACAAACCTCAGGATTTATTTGATTATTGTATACTTATTTTATACACATTTCTGGACATAGGGAATTAAATAAGATTATATGTGTCTTACATGTGTGAAACAGTGGGGAGGTGGGGCAGAGATTTCTAGTCAGTACTTACTCCTGAAATCTGCCTAGACAAGTCCCTGCAGTTTTCTTAGCAAGATTTTCAAAAGTGGTTTGCCATTGCCTCCTTCTTAGGGCTGAGAGGAGAGTGACTGTCCCAAGGTCACCCAGCTGGCTTTTGTAACTCAGTCTCCGTTTCTCGCCCTGTGCCTTAACCACTGGCTACACCAAAGTGGGAGGGGGGGAGGAGAGTTGTCTTTCTGGAAAGACTGAAGAAATGAATTAGAAAATTTTTTTTGGAGTGCTTTGGTATGATTTTCTTGGTAATGTGTGTATGTAGATAAACTGTTTCAACTCTACCCTCAAAACAACACTACAGAGCACACCAGAACAACTAGACACAAGTTTTTTTCCCGAAAGCCATCACTATGCTAAACAAATAATTCCCTCAACACTGTCAAACTATTTACTAAGTCTGCACTACTATTAATCTTCTCATCTTCTCATCATTCCAATCACCCATCTCCTCCCACTTATGACTGCATGACTGTAACCTTGTTGCTGGTATCCTTACGATTTATATTGTTTCCTGATTGCTTATTTGTAACCTATGACTGTCATTAAGTGTTGTACCTTATGATTCTTGATGAACCTATCCTTTATTTTATGTACATATGCACCAAGACAAATTCCTTGTGTGTCAAATCACTCTTGGCCAATAAAGAATTCTATTCTATTCTATTCTATTCTATTCTATTCTATTCTATTCTATTCTAAAAATTAAAATTCCTACAAATTATGACAAATTTAATTACGGTGTTAGGAAATTACTAACTTGTCCAATAACAAGAGGAAGTGAGTGAGGAAATAGATTGGTAGGGTCCAAAAAGTTACTGCAATAGGTTTGCCTTGTTTTTTGAAGTGGCTAGATTTGTTTAAAATGTTTTTTGGGCCCTGAATATGACATTACTTGCATTCATTCCCTATTAATCTCCAAAATTAGAATCATAGCCTTGGAAGAGGCCACAGATGTTGCCTACTGCAACTGTCTGCTCAGTGGATGATCCACCGGATCCACCACTTGACGATATCCATCCTGTTTAAAAATCTCTAACAAAATCTAGTTCTGGGAATCTAGAACGGAGCATCACAAGCATAAAAACACATTTTGTCATTAGTGTTGTATATCAATTTGAAGTTTTAACATGGCTTTCATATGATGGTTTGCCATAACTACCGGCTATTTTGAAAATACAGTAATCTTATGAAGAAATAACAGTGTCCTAATTGAATAAAACCATCCTATAGCTTATGTTTTAGATATTTGTGTTCCATTTATTTTTTGTAGAAACACCCTTTCTTAGTTTGTTTTGCAACGAAGTGCAACTTCTCAGATTTGTGTGTCAGCATGTTTGCAGGCAGAATATCATAACTTCCAGACGCTGATTAAATATTTCCACATCCTCTTTAACTTGATTGGGAAAGAAAGAATATGTGTCTCATGCATTCCTAAACTGTAGACATTTTTTCAAACTTTCAAAAAGGAATTACAAATCAGTCTCTTCAGTCCACCCAAATATGAATTTAAATGTAATATAAAATATCTCGAGAAATAGTTTCTTTTTAAAATGGATGATTTCAAAAAAGCCTTCCAAGAATTGTTTTCTAGAACACTTTTAAGTAAGCATAGGCACTAGGGAGAACTTTACATGTAAAACAGATGCATATATCCATACAACAGCACTGCCTGTAAAAAGATATATTTATTTACAGGTTCTTTTACCCTCAGTAATGAAATCCAGTAAGTCAATTTGTTCATAATAAAAAGTTGTTTTACATATTATTTACAAGTATCCAAATATATTTAGTCTGTCACTGCTGTTGACTATACCTTCTCACAGAACTTGAGATGGGAGAGTTTACTGCAATGATGTACATTCAAAGAATAAATTGTGGATATGCAGTGTTTTTGGCACATCTAACTTCATATTTTCTACTGAGCTTGGTACATACAGTAGCCTGTTGTCAAAGAATGTCACAAGGGTGGACAAAATGCAGGTGGTTCTTCAAACTATTCTTTGGCATCTGAAGATTCAGAAAAACTATCAAGTAGAAAAATGGAAAAGAATCTTAAAATTGCTATTTTATTTCTCATAATTTGCACTAGAATTGTTTTGCTAAGCTCATAGCTCTGATATTTAGATGTCAGTTCTCTTTAGGTCCTTCAATTAATTTACATACACCATGTCATAATTTTCATTATTTCCTGTAGAATATGTTCCAAAATCTGTCTTCATTAAAATGCCATTTCCTGAAAGACATCATAGAAATGGATGCATGAACATTCCTGAAATATATTGCACATGTTTATGATCACTGTAGCAGAAATTGGAAGATAAGATTCTGAAATTCCAGTAGGTATGTATATTGTCTTGATGCCCATTTACACTGTACAATCTCAGTAATAAGCATTCTTTTAAGAAAAATACCTTATGGTCAATTAATCCATAATTCTGTCACAGATGTATCAAGTACAACTTTGATATTTAAAAAGGAGAAAAATACTATTATCATCTGCAATATTTTGCTCCACTAAATGGAGCTATTTACAAAAAAGGCCATTCACAAAATAGATTTTAAGTTTCTGTTCCCTTTGAAACCAAAACATAAAAATGGTTTTGCTATTCTTACAAATATGCAGTTGAAACAGAGAGTATTTACTGAACAGTCTGTTTAAAAATTTGCAGACTTAAGGATATAATATTAAGTTAGAGGTTTGGAGAAAAATCTCATACTATATATATATATATTAAGCAGCATAACAAAGTTGCTGCAGAAAATTAGGTGACAAATTTATGAATTTTAGCTTCATACATTTATTGTATTGTTGTATTAATGTCACACAATAACTGCCATAATCATTTATCCAGGTAATCATGTTACAGTGTATTGATGTCAAAATTTTAAAAAGTTATCAGTGGATATTAACACTTTCACTGTTTGTTGCTACTGTTTCTTAGCCAGACATAAACTAAGTGTATTCTACCACACTCATCCTCATCCAGATTGGTTAATTTATAGTTGAAGTGAAAATAACATGGTAGATATTCATAATGTTGAAAATGGAATCAATCCTTTTTGTAAAGTAAAATACAACCCTTTTAAAAAAAACTTGCCTTCACTCTGAGATGTTAATATTCTATTCTAAAATAGAATATAGAGGCCCAATTGTTCGTGTTGCATTTGGAAAAGTTCAGTTTACATGAGGATGCTCCATTCCCACATTTATTCTTCCACACAATCCATCATACTATTTAAACTTCAGCTCCCCAAGACAAAAAGGTCCATAGTTATAAGGCCCATAATTCAATTGCTCATTTAAAACATGTATTGACCTATGATTTAAAACCATTCCCACATTCCAGGAAGCACTTTTTGGTCCTGTTCTATTTAATCAGTTTTAACATTAGCTATTCCTTCTGTCCAATCTCACCCTGTCAGACACTTTTATAAATGTTTTTAGGTAATCAATTCAATATGTTCCTAAAATCTAGGCTTAGGAAGTCAAGTATAAGTCTGGTAAAGAAGATGTAAAGTATGATTTCAGAAATGTATGAGGTGACTTCAACTGAGAATTTGCACTCTATTGACTGCAGTGCTACTTTGACTTTTTAATATATATTGTATGTAAACATTTCTGGTAATAATAATTTGATCACTAAAGAAAATAAGCCTGAAATCTTTAAACAACTATTTTTACAACTTTTATGATATACCATTATTAGACAGCAGTTTATACCATTATTAGAAAGCATTGCTTTCTCATACCTTCAAAGATTATGAGTACACACACATACAAATTCTAAAAAGATAAGACACTTTATTGAATTTGATAAATTAAAAGACTATGTACTGGACTTGTATGAATCACAGTTATTTGTAAACAGAGACCTTGGGTCCTTTCCAAAGAAATCCTGATAGAATTATGCAATAAATCATTTTCCAACACGCTGATCACAGGATGCATAGTAACAAAGGGCAGAGAAGAATTCATCATAGCTGACATTCACATGTGAAGGCAAAGAACTGAAAAAAACATAATTGGAAAGAAAATTAAGTATAATTGGGAATATATACAATACATACATTTGCTATCACATTCCTAAAAATTTGTTTTGAACTATGAATCAGACTGATACATGACAAATCATAGAAGTCTTATAATAACATATGAACTTAAGGGTATTTTAAATTTTCTATCCACTCCATAGTCAAGGAATATGCTAACAGATGCATATTGCTTGGCTATACAGGAATCTATTTTTAATACATAAGATTCCACAAGATCTCCCTAATTTGCAGTAGCTATGTGCAAAAGCACACTGTACATAGTTGCAGTAGATGGGCTCCCTTATGGTAAGAATATTCTTCTTCATGGAACATAAAATAAGAGATTCAACATGAATTTTACTTCCCTTAAATGATGGAAAGATTCACTAATAGGAAAAAAAACTAATTTACTGCAGGGATGGGATACCTGTAGCCCACCAGATGTTCATGAATCATAGCTCTCATCATGCTCACTATTAGCCCGAAGCTTGCTATTCTGCAACAACTGAAGCACCACAAGTTTCTTCTGGACATTGTTGGCCATTCATTATTAAATAGTTTTGTAACCTGTTTAAATACATCTATAACTTTTAAATATTTAAAAGTTAGATATGCCAATCTGAAAGGACTATTTATTAAATGTATTTTTATTAGTGGATAGTCCAGTCCATATTCAGAGGGATAAAGTGATTTGGAGTATTTAGGAATACTCATGTAACCATGTCTTATAGAAACTACGTCTTTTCTGGGCTTGTGCAGCTGTTGTGTAATATGTCAAGCAAAGATGCATTGGATTTAAGAAAGCGTACATCCAAATAGTCTTGAAATAATTTTTCCTTTAAATCTAGAATGTTACACAGCCCTAATTTTCAAACCTTTTCTCATAATTCAGAATATCCAAAATGGTTTATAATAGTCATAAAAAGCAGTGGTGGGCTGCCCCCGGTTCACATCGGTTCCATAGAACTGGTAGTAAAACCGGCAGGAGGCTCCACCCACTGACCCTGACATCATCAAAACACTTCTGCGCATGCGCAGAAGAGTGCGTGCGTGTGCAAGTGAAGCGAGAGCATGCACACGGCTCCGTTGCAAACCGGTAGTAAAGGTAAATAGAACCCATCCCTGATAAAAAGAGAATAAAAGCAACTATTACAAGGAGTTAATGGCTAGAAAAGGCAAACATAAAACGAAGGATTCTTAAAGATTCCTAAACTGCCTGTGTATGAGCCAGGCATGTCATAGAGAGCAAATCATTCCACAGGACAAGTGGAATGTTAGCAAGGTGCCAGAACCTACATTATATTGATTATCAAGATATTTTACCATCTTTTATGATTATACACTGAATCAAGAATAATATAAATGAAGTATTTAAAGTACTGGTATGTATTAGCAAGCATACTATTAATTTGAGCTGTCCATGAATGTGTACCTTTCTTTCAGCAGTTGGCAATCTTTGAGGTTTGAAGAAGCATTTTTTCCTAATGCTTTCAGTGTTGGATAAAGGGCAGGGACGGGAAATGGTATCAAGGAAGTTGAATCCTTTTTTTCCACTTTTGAGGGAACTGTTTAAAAGTACAATTTAGCCTACTGTGAGCTTAACACATCTGTTTTTGTTAGTCTAGTGAAGAAAATTAGTGAGCTATTGCAATTTGGAGAGAATGACAAGAAACACTGAAGCTGCAGTTTGATCATCCTTGCTTTGCAAAAAGGTATAAAAGAAAAATTGTCAATGTATTTTTAATATCTATTGTGAGGCATTTTTTATTTAGCTCTCAACATAATTGGAGTGAGAACTATTTTCTTTATCTGTTACAGTACAATATTCACATTTTCCTATCAGAATCAAAATTATTGAAAATACATAAGAATTATATGTTCTTACACAATCTCGGTCAATCTGACTTGCCAGGGAAGAAATCCCAAGATACTGTCCACAGGACCAAATTTTAATATTAGGTCAGGATCAGGAAAGCCGTTAGTACCTAGAAAAAGGGCACAATGGATTACTGCACTTATTTGGAAAGATATACCTCTATAGCAAGACTATACAAAGACATATTGGAGATCTTCTACAAAGTAACCCCATAGAATGTAGAGACTGAATGCAGGTAGTCTTTGACTTACAACCATCTGGAATTACAGTCATGAGTTATTGCAGATGTTAAGCAGGTCACTATGTAACCAGACATGACTTTATGAGACTTTTGGATGTGGTCATTAAGCCAGCATGGTAGTCTTTAAGTAAAGACCACAGTCATTAAGGGAATCCATAATGGTGTTTTCTGCTGGAAAATGGCAAAAAACATTGAAAATCATGGTGGTACACTGCAAACACTGCAAACAGCTATAAAGCTGAGTTGATTGCCAAGCACCCAAAATGTGATGTGATTCTGAAGGGAGCATGCAGCCATTGTAACTTCAAAATTGGTTCGTAAATACCTTTTGGGTGTCCATCATATATTCAAAAGGGTGCTAAACAATCAGTCATAAGTTGAGGACTACCTGTAGTGAGTATGAAATCCAAATATTTACACCAAGAGTTTGATTATGTTTTTTAAAAAAGTACTGCTGTTAGCCATTTTGCACTCCTATAAAATGGAGTACTCAATTAAATACTCAAAAAAAGGTAAATAAATTCTGCTTTAACACTTACTACTTAATAAGTTTTCCAAGATGTTCATATCCAGATCTGTGCATTTCTTTTGCTTTTGTGCTACTAAATTGCAAAATTTCTGAGCTGCTTTTACAATATCTGTTTTTCCATCCTCTGAGGACAGCACGTTCAGAACAGATTGGCAATTTAAAACTGCAGTTAAAATGAAAATAAAACAATGAAAGTGGAAGAACAGAAACAGTTGCTTGAAATCAGTATTTTCTAAAGTTACTGTAGACGCTTATGATTCTTCAGTTTAAAGTAACATTTCCCCCATTACTCTGCAATTTCTCAAAGTTCCTATTAGTGATGAGCTGCGGTGGCGCAGTGATTAGAATGTAGTATTGATCTGCTCAAAAGCTGACTCAGCCTTCCATCTGTCTGAGGTCAGTAAAATGAGAAGCTGGATTGTTGGAGGCAATATATTGACATTGTAAACCGCTCAGAGTGTGCTGTAAAGCATTGTGGAGCGGTATATGAATCTAAGTGCTATTGCTATTGTTTAAATTAACCTACAAAGTATGCTTTGTAGAAAATCTGCAACTCTTTGCTAAAATAATAACACTTCAGTAGAAGTTTAGAATCAAAATTTTCTTAATTCATATTTATATACATCTGTCTCATTCCACTGATTTGAATACATCCAGATCTATAAGAACTTATGCACATAAAATTTTCCTATTGAAGAAACCAGTATTTGTGGATTAGTTTTCTGTAATCAACGTATTTTAGTCCTCTATAACAATACAAGTTTTTTAAAAAATTATCTTACCTTCATCTGTTTTCTCCTGATTTGCAAATTTCACTGTATATTTGGAACAGTCAAGATTCAACAATTCCTGCTGCTGTTTTAAAATTTCATCCATCAGTCTTGAATTGTTTCTTTTGAAAATACCTTGGAAAAAGAGAAGAAAGAACATGTGCTGGTAATTTTTTTTATCTTGCTGCAGAAATTATATTTAGATTACTTGGAGCTGCCTAGGTGGAATATTCAAAAACTTTACTTGGTGTAGTTTCTAACAGAAGTTGATTCAGCACAGTAATACTTCGCCATTCTCTGACATGTTAACTATACATTTCATTCAAAATGCTTATTGCCTTTAAAGCTCTTCATGACTTAGTCCTGGTAATTGTAGGTAAAATCTATTTGTTCTACACATTTGAATTATGATGGCATGTTGCATACCCACTCTCTATAAAAGTAAGGGGAAGGGGACTAGGAAACCTGCTTTTGTTGTAACTGCCCAAGACATTTAGAACATATGCCCTAATGTAAAGATCCCTGAAAATAAGACCCTGTCTTATATTTATTTGAACCCTGAAATAAGCACTTGGCCTTATTGCCATGTGCCCAGTTGGGCTTATTATCAGGGGATGTCTTATTTCGGGAAAACATGGTATCTAAATAAAAATAATTTACAGGGATGCTTTTGCCATGTATTACAGGCCAAGGTTTTTTTTTTTTAATTCTTTTAAGATTAGTTTGTGATTTTATAATTATATAATCCACTTAAGAGTCTTATGACTGGGGTAATACAGAGATCTTGTACCTTGAAAAGATAGCCATAATCCATCATATAATAAATGCTTATTTGATTATAAGGGTAGCAACAAACTAAAATCTTTTTTGGACTTTCTATATTCTAAATAGCCATCCCAAATTTCACAATTGGTGGGCCATTTGCAAGACATATTTCCCCTTTTCGCAATTGCTGTCCTTAAAAACAGTATGGGGTATAGTCCAGGAAAAGTATTCAAAAACTGAATTTGGGCACATACAGATTTCTAGTTGTATAAAATGTCTGACACTGATGTGAAACCATTATTTTTCATGAAATTTGACTCTGCAATCAAAAGAAGTTTAAATACCAGACAGACCTGAAAGATATCTATTGTGCAAGCAGCTTCTTCTTCACACAATTGTATATTCAACCATTTGAGTGTAGGAACAAGTACACATTGCTATGAATTTTAATTGAATTTTAAAAACACTTCAAAACCCACACAATTAGGGATATCCCTTCTACCTATAAACAAACACCCTCATTCCATATCAGAAACTAATCAGTTGCACAATATAGTAAAGTTAAAATCTCATTTGGGTTGAGTTCAGCTTCTGATGATTTCTGGATATGTCAATAGTTTAGTCACTGCTTTCTCTTTCAGGATGTTACCTCCCTTGCATTGCTTATCTTTCATCTGATTATTAAATAGGCTCAAATCTGCATAGCTTGCACAGTCAGTCAGCCAGATGCTAAGGGACTCAGCATGGAAGAGTTGCTATTACATTACTTCAAGATGCCTTTAGTTACAGAGAATATTCACAAAAAGGCCAGAATTTGGGATAGACCTGGCTATTGTTCCAGAACAAATATTCTAATGTATTCCACTCTGATTATAACATAGCTCCTCACACCAAAGGAAAATGAATCAGTAATCAACAGCAATTGGGGGGGGGGGGGCTTACAATTTGGTCCAAACCTGATACCTGACTTATTCTTAAACATCTGAATTTCAGGTTCTGGTTTATTAGCAACAAGTAAATCAGAGCTTTTAAATAAAATTTAATATTATGTTTCTTCTTCCAAGCAAATCCTATGGTTAATTTCATAATGTAATTTGATACAGGTTATTTTGATTATCCTGATCTGTTTATCTGTCTCTCCAAGCACACACATCCCAGCAATAGGTATTAAAGGTAACTAAACTAGGCTTTTGTTTAAAAGAGAAACAAAAAACAAGCACATATTCTTGGATACAGGTAAGAACCACTATTATACCAGTGGTACTGGTTTGAACCATTAACAGGAGCCAGAATGACTTTGCATTATAAAATGTTATAAATCACATAGGCCTCCTAGTTAATTTGGGCATGTACCTTTCAAGTTTCATTTTCTCAAAACCAAAAAGGTATCTGGAAGTAGTGACAATTACATCTATATAGCAGAGGAATGATGAAGCATTCCATTGAATGTCAACTGCTGCCACTGTACATGTAGTCCTCGACTTACAATATTCATTTAGTGACTGTTCAAAGTTAGTGACGCTGGAAAAAAGTGACATGACCATTTTTCACACTTATGATTGTCGCAACAGCTCCCTGATCATGTGATCAAAATTCAGATGTATGGCAACTGATTCATATTTAGCCCTGAGTCAAAAATCTGATTCCTCAGCCATGCACATACAAATATAGGACACGCATACACACAATTTCAGTTCGGACTAGACTATGGGCTGAATGTTACTTCAGTATTCTTGTTCTAGCTAGCTAAAAATTATGCAGTTTTTAAAAATTGGCTACTACCCTGTTTTTCCCCAAAACAAGACATCCCCTGATAATGAGCCCGATTGGGCTTTTGAGTGCATGGCAATAAGGCCAAGCGCTTATTTCAGGGTTCAAAAAAATATAAGACAGGGTCTTATTTTGGGGGAAACACATATGTCCAAGTGATCAACCTGTCAACTTTATTTTAAAAACTGTTACATCTTCATTTTAAATGAAAATATTACTTCCAATTATTTACTTGATTTCCTAAAATTTAAATATCTATGATTTTAGTACTTGTTTCTCCATATTTCTTATTAGCACCTTTTATAAGAATTTTATTTTCATTTCCAAACTTACCTAGTAAGATTCAGAATCAGTATAGTACAAGAATGTTTAGGGTTGTTTTTTTTACTATAGTCCTCAAAAGTGAATTTTGCCTCATTTTATGAACTTTCTTGGCACAGTTGTTAACTGAATCACTGCAGTCGTTAAGTTAGTAACACAGTTTTAAACTGAACCTGGCTTCCCCACTGACTTTGCTTGTCAGAAGATTGCGAAAGGTGATCACAAGACCCCAGGACACTGCAACTATTATAAATGTAAGCCAGTTTTCTAAGAGTCTGAATTTTGATCACATGACCATGGGGATTTTGCATAGTCATAAATGTGATAAATGGTCATAAGTCACTTTTTTCAATGCTGTTGTAACTTCAAACATTCACTAAATGAAAGGTTGTATGTCAAGGACTACCTGTACTAGATTTTTGTTTTAGAATAGAATCTAGTTTCAACATCTTTTAGTATAGAATGTTTTCAACTTCCCTTGTTTACAAACATTTGCATAGGTTAAAAGAGAGATAGGAAAACACTTTCATCAATTATTGGAAGAGTCGCCAAGATTCTTCAATCTTTGAGTAACTGACATAAAACAAACTGAATTTATATTCAGTTCCTAGTCTAATCCTTTGCATTCTTTACTATGCATCTGTATATTAAGTAGACTCATATCTTCTTAGCTTTTAAGCCTAGACAAAATCAGGTAGGCTGTTTTAAGTTACTTTAATTTACTTCAGTTATATCTTATCTTAATATTTTAAAAATATTTGTGTAAAGCAGTGGTTCTCAATCTGGGGGTCGCAATGTCATCACAGTGCGTCCGCGAAGGCTTGAAGAAATGCTATGATTTAAATCTTGAGTTAAGTCCTGGGAATCTGTGGTCATGGTTCGGGGCCACAACATGTATTTAAAGAAGGTCCATGGTAAAGAAAAGGTTGAGAACCCCTGGTGTAAAGAATTACTTAGGTCAGTGATAGCTAACCTTTTCTGGACTGAGTGCCCAAAGCGTGCGCCCGAACCCCCAAAATGCAATGCATGTACAGCCCCCTGCATGCACCACGCCCGTGCATGCACACGCCCCCTGCCCGCCTGCACATGTGCACACTCCCCCCCCACGCGCCCTCCAGCACACGAATGCATGGCAGAGACCGGAAGACCAGCTGGCTGGAGGGAGGCACACATGCATGAGCAGTGGAGCTGAACTGGGGTGACGGCTCGCATGCCATCAGAAAAGGCACTGCGTGCCACCTCTGGCACATGTGCCATAGGTTCGCCATCATGGACTTAGGCAATTGAGGATGTACATAATGCATATGTACTGTTTAGCATTAAAAGACAGCTAAGCAACTTCCTGAAAAATCATATTGTCTCAATCTCCATGGACTTCATTTCTATAAGAAATGGAACTAAATTGGGCGGGGAGGTATTTTTCTTTTCATATATATTGAATCATTTTTTACATTTAAACTCTCATTCAGATTGCCTAGCAGTCCCTTAAACCTTTTTCAATTCTATCATAACAGGTATCAGGAAGACCCAAAAGCAGCTCAATAATCTATCCACAAAGTACAATTCAAAAGCAATGTTGCTATGTTTCTTGGGATGTCATTCTATAGTTAGTTTAAAAATTTTCTTATATATAGGCAAAGACTACCTGTCCCATAAAATCTCTTTTCAGTTTACCATGAAAGTATTTGTATTAAAAGGGTAAACAAAATCTGGCAGAATTTTGCTTACATGATTAGTATACATTCTTTTACAATGTGGAATTAAAGAGAGATTCTAGAGTGCAGCTTTGAAGTTAAAAGTGTGTTCATTATTAAACAGAAAACACAAATGTTTCTTAGTTATGTTTAGTGGTTTGATTTTTATGTATGTAATTATGCATGTAATTATTCCTTAACAAATTGAACAATTTTGAAATAGACCTATTTGGTTTTGATTGACTCATATTTTTTCATATGATTTTATTGTACTTGTTTCTTAACTTGTGTTCGCCGCCCTCAGTCCTTTGGGAGAATGGCGGCATATAAATACATGTAATAAATAAATAAATAAATAAATATTGCTGTAATCATGTAATTAAATTTTCACTAAACTCGCTATTCTTCAAGACTTCATTTTCTCACATATACTTCAATAATTTCTGGCTGTTTAAAGTTTTCCATTCCACCATGATTCTAATTGCCCATTTATATCTTAAAGGTGCTATATACATAGTAATTCCGAATGTTAAAAACATTGGGCACCTTCTCCTAAAGTCAAAAGTTTATTTTAAATTGGACATAGTATTAAGATTTCTTTTGTTTAAAAAATTAATCAAATGTATTCAAAACAGTTGGTCAAAACAGTAGTACAGAGAAATAAAATATAGTATAGGGGTTAAACTATTGCTTAACGCATTGTAAGCCGCCCTGAGTCTCCGGAGAAGGGCGGCATATAAATCAAATTAAAAAAAAAAAAAAAAAAAAAACTAATTGTATTCAGTAGACACTAATAAAAAGATTCAGAAAAATCTGCTCAGAATCAGTCTGGGGTCAAGTAGTTCCATAATCGAATAATAGCTAAACAACAAAACCAATGAACATTCTTGAAAATAGTTCTTTTACTGACCTTCATCCTTTAACCTACTACTACTGTTTATATTTTCTGTACCAGCCAAACCTATTGGTACTGAGCTCACGCTAGGTAAGGAAAACAAGGAAAAGCTGCTTCCTGTCTCAACAAAGATTAGTTGCCTTAACTGGCATTTAATATTGGTAGTCTTTGACTTACAATTGAGGCCAAAATTTCTGTTGCTAAGTGAGACATTCGTTAAGGGAATTTTGTCCCATTGTATGACCTTTCTTGCCACAGTTGTTAAAGTGAACCACTGCAGTTGTTAAGTTAGTAAGGCTGTTGCTAAGTGAATCCGGCTTCCCCAATGGACTTGTCATGATCAAAATGTCACCAAAGGCAATGATCGATCCCATGATCTTGGGACCCTGCGACCGTCATAAATATAAGTCAGTCGCCAAGTATCTGAATTTTGATCATATGACCACGGGGATACCCACAACGGTCGTTAAGTGTGAAAAACGGCCATGAATCACTTTTTCAGTGCCTTTGAAAGGTCACTAAGAGGGGGAGGGAATCCAGGGCTTTCAAGGTCGGGAAAAGGGCGAGAGATCTGAACTCGGCCGTTAACCAGGCGACTCACCTTCGTGGTCGTAGACGCTGACATAGGAGATGCCCACCGCCATGCACCACACCACCAAGCTGGCCACATCGGCGTAGCTCTGCTCCTCCTCGGTCACCACCAGCCCAACGTGGCCCGGCAGCTTCTGCAGAGATTTGGCATCCCTCCGCCACCGGCCACCGGCGCCCGCTACTTTCCGTCCTACCGCCGCCGGCTTGTGAAAGGCGAAAGGGTTGGCGGCCGCCGCCGGGGCTAAAAGGGCCCGCGAGGCGGCGGTGGCCGCTGTAGCCGCGCGCTGCCGCCAACGGCTGAGCCACGAGCCGCGACCTCCGAACCAACCGCGGCCCCAGGCGACCAGCGCGCGCTGGACGCTGAAGAGGACGTGCAGCAAGCGCCACAGCAGCTCGTACGCGACGCTCATTGGCCCGGACGGAGTGGGGGAGACGCGAGAGGAGCGGAGCGGTGACCCGTTCGGCTGAGGCGGTTTCAAAGGCGGATCAGCCGCAGCGCGAAGAACGTATCATCTCGCCTCCCTTTGCCTCACGGAGACGGTTTTATCTGCCCGGCAACTTTCCGTACTGCAACCATCTCTCTTTTTTTCTCTCTCTCTCTCTCGCTCTCTCTGTACCTGCCCTGACCTTTACCCTCTAGCCTACGCCGCTGCTGCTCATTGGTCGGAGGGTGTCATTTCCGGATTGATAGACTAAATGACGTGGCCCGAAGGAAACTGACGAAGAGGGAAGCCCTAGGAGGTCTTTTTGCAGCTACAGATTTAATGTTCTATTGCGACATCTAGTGGCGGATGTATGTGAGTCTTTAAAGCTCCGCCGGCTTGGTCGCCGTGTGCGCGATAGTGAAACAAGAAATCAAATGTTGTGACCGGTTCCTTTGTTTGCTCAAACTGGATTGCCAATTGTGGAAATGAATGGGACAAAAACTTCCCAAAATGGCTTATTTCTTAACCAGGAGTTGAAGGTGAACTGTGAATATACGCACTGAACTAAAACGATAAGAAATATGCACTGAACTAAAACATTATTTGTGCACCGCAGACGGGTTTATTTCTATCCTTATTCCACACATATCCCATAAATGCATAGAAAGATATTTCTTAGAAAAGTATATTCTTCAAAGATGGTACACCTTTGAGTCTATGCACACATTCATAATATACAGTATTATATATACACCTTTTGATAAATATTGGTAACCCCATCGGTCCAGCATATAAGATAATTAAACATTCTAAATACAACTACACCATTTACTTTCAAGTGATGGCCTGTGTTGCCCTCACAAGCATGCTTGGAGACAGTTGACTTAGACTTACAAAACATAAGTCTGATCTAATTAAATTCACATAAAGGATATCAACAGAAACGTATCTTAGGCTCACCTTTATTTCATAATCATAATCACCACCCATATTTACTCAGAGATAGAGATATCATCACCATTTGTGTACTTGTTTATTTCTTTCCCCTCTTCCACAGAATAAAAATGTTATCTACATACTCCTATTCCAGCAGGCCGGCCTGGCCTAATTTTTCCCCCTTCTTTTAAATTTTTAAACTCATATTTTAATTTGTTTTAAATTATTGGGAGTTTTAAATTGTCTCAGGCAAAAATTATTTAATTAGGTTTTAATCATGTTTTAACTTTTGTATTTATGTGTTTTATTTCGTGCCTGTTCACCGCCCTGAGTCCTTCGGGAGTAGGGCGGTATACAAATTTAATAAAATGAAAAAAAAAATGAAAATGAAATGCAAGATTATTCTTAAAGACATCCAGCTTTCATCATGGCTTTCTGCTAGTTATGACCCTCCCTTGACTTCTATGCCTTTGGTGGTGAGCACACTTCTGGTTTGAAGAAGTTCCCAAGTAGAACATCCAAATACAAATTGCCATCCAAATACAGGTATCTGAGACAAGGAATTTTAGGAAATTATAACTAAGAGTGGATATTGTTCTGTAGATTTAACACCTTTTTAATTTGCTAATTCTTGTTCTTTAATACTTTGTACATTATTTCTTTTTAAATCCAGTCTGGTTACAGCATGTGGGACTCTGAAGAAAAAAATAAAGAAAAACATTGTTTATCTCTTCTGTAACTTCTTTCAGCAAACCAACTATTTAGCTACACGATAACCTGTTATTATAATGAGAAATAAGTAACATGCCACCCACTTAGCTTCCTAGCCAAACGGGCTTTTGGATTGCAAATCAAACTACATTGTAATTTGAGTCATTTCTAAAATTTCATGGTGTAGTATGAATGAGATTACAGGAGTTTAGCCTTTGGCAGCACAGTTTTTTTTTAATTTTAAAAACCAAATTAATTTCTTCAATCCTGAAATTGAATGTATTTATATTACAAAAAAATACTAAATGTGCACTCTTTATTGCACAGATAATATATTTCCTGATTTCGCAATGAAATTCATCTTATGCTTTTTAATTCCAAGTCTCTGACAAATTATGTGTCTTAGCAATAGCAATAGCATTTAGACTTATATACCGCTTCACAGTGCTTTACAGCCTTCTCTAAGCGGTTTACAGAATCAGCATATTGCCCCCAATAATCTGGGTCCTCGTTTTACCAACCTGGAAGGTTGAGTCAACCTTGAGCCTGGTGGGATTTGAACTGCCAAATTGCAGTCAGCCGGCAGTCAGCAGAAGTAGCCTGCAGTACTGCACTCTAATCACTGCACCACCATGGCTTAGCCACTTACTTTACTGGAATAGAATTAAGCTGATTTTGTTCAAGTGCTAAATTAGACAGTAGTGTACATTTTTGAAGTGCTCCATCTTCAAATGCAGTAGCAATATAATTGTCAAGGAATTATATTGGTTGAAGTTTTGTAGATTCTACAATTCTTGTGCTCTAATGCACTCAGATTGTTTGTGAAATCAATTTTCTGTAGCGTAACTGGCAATCTGTGAGTGATATAGTTTGGAGTTTGTTCTTTGACAGCTCCATCCTCATTAAACCTGAAAGAAAGCTGCATACCAACTGGTGAAAGCTGGTTTCAGACAGGCCGATCTCTGACAAATTTATTCACATCTCCAAATTCTACCATTTTCAGCTGGCTCCTTTCCAGCTTCAATGACAATATAGTATTAGCTGATGAGAAGGAGATCCGACAGTTGATTACCATTTAAATTAAGAAACAAATTATAAAAAGATGTGAACAAGCTGCTTGAAAAAGATTGCCAATTACTATTCTCCATGCTAAAATAGTTTAGGCATGGAAGATGCAATGACCAAGAGACAGATTCTGTTACTTACACCCAAAGTCAATCTCTGTAAACTAGTAAGGGGGGGGGGGAAACCAAAATCAAATTGATTTGTATTCCAAATTCTCTTTATTTTAAAAAAACTTTCAAAATCAGATTCAAGTAAAAATTATTAAATTGTCACCAGGTTTCAATACAGTATAATATTTCAAGGTTTCTGGAAAGAAAGTAGATTTGTGGGTCCATTTTTCTTTTATTTATGTATTGATATTCCACCTTTATTATTTTTACAAATAGCTCAAGGCAGCAAATATTTTCCAGCACACCTTCCTCCTCCTATTTTGCCCACTCAACAACCCTGTGAGGTGAGTTGCCCTGAGAGAGTGTGACTGCCCTAAATCACCTAACTGGCTTTCCTGACTAAAGCAAGATTAGGAGTTATGGTCTCCTGATTTCTAGCCTGATACCTTAACCACTAGAGCAAACTGGAGACTGAGCATTTTCATTTGGCTTTAGGCACAAAAGCTTGCAAGGTGACCTTGGGCCATTCACTCTGTCTCAGTAAATGTCATTAGTCTGAAGACAAAAGCCATGTTGAATTAATTCAATCAGCAATTATCTGCCTCCATAGAATAGGCATATATTATCAAGAAATTTATTCAAATGCCATTTAAAAAGTTATGCAAGAATATCAAAACATAGAGCATAATCTTGCCAAACTGGGATATGTGCTACTGGAGTTCCATGGCAAGCTGAGGCCCTCTAGAGGCATATCATAGGATATATGACATCTTTATAACAAGTCTAAGCATAACTGAAGAGACATACAGTTGAATTTTATAAAATACACTTTTGACTATACTGGCATAGAATCAGTGGGAATAGATCATACAGTTCCCTAAGCCAGTGTTGTGCAGAAGTATATCCCTCCACGTTCAATGGAATTTACTAAATTCAAATGGCCTAAATCCATGATGGGATATTAATTTATTAGAACAAATCAAAATGCCTAAAAGCTTGAATCTGCAGAACTTATCATCAGGTGAGATGCTGCACAAATCAGGAGATGGGAGGAGAAGTAAAATTAAATAAGCCAGTTGTTTCTCCTCTATCTCCATCCTATCATCATTATTATCATCATCATCGCTACCACCATCACCACCACATCTTTCACCAGAAGAGCTCAAGGTTTATCTTAATTTAGCTCTAAAATAACTCTGTAGGGGAGATTGGATTAAAAAACAGCGATTGATTCAACATTACACAATGATTTTCCATGAGAAGATAAACTTGAATCTGAGTTTCCCCAATCCTGATTTAACAATTTAATTACTATATTACATTATAAAGTATTAGCAGCATATTTACATTCATTCTGGAGACATGGAGAGAACGAATCACATTTGTCTGAATCTAGTCTACAAGATACGCATCTTTAAATTTAATTCGTATAACTATTAATATCAGGTCAAGAAACCCACTTCTCTTTTTTTGTCATAACAAATACTATTTTTCTTGTCTCTAAAAGGTACAATTATATTTTATAGCAATCAGCAAACATAGATTTCTTTGTATAAGACAAATACGATGAATCTGTATATAGACGGGAAGTTGAACAACTGACGTGTGGTGCGGCCGCAACAATTTTGAACTGAACACACTCAAAACTGTAGAGATGATAGTAGATTTTAGGAGAAGCCCTCCTAGTCTACCACCTCTTACAATGCTAGACAACACAGCATCAACAGGAAACATTTTCACATTTCTAGGTTTTATAATATCTCAGGACTTAAAATGGACATCTAACATCAAAAATGTCATCAACAAAGGACAACAAACGATGTTCTTCCTGCGCCAACTCAGAAAGCTCAGACTTCCCAAGGAGCTGCCGGTACAGTTCTACAAAGGAATTATTATCTGCACCTCTATAACTGTCTGGTTTGGCACACAAACAAGATAGACCTAGACTTCAACAATTAGTTAGGACTGCAGAAAAAATAATTGCAACCAGCCTGCCTTCCATGCAGGATCAGTGTACTGCATGAGCCAAAAAGACGGCTGTGAAAATATCTACAGACCCCTCACATCCTGGACATAAACTCTTTCAACTTCTTCTCTCAAGATGACAGTATAGGGCCATGATGGCGAACCTATGGCACACGTGCCAGAGGTGGCATGCAGAGCCCTCTCTAGGCACGCGCACCATCGCCAGCTGCTTTCTTTTGGGTCCCAGTGCACGCATGCGTGCCAGCCAGCTGGTCTTTGAAGACCAGCTGTCCGGTGTGCATACACGTGCCGGAACCTGGAAGAGCAGCTGGCAATGGCGCTTGTGTGCACCAGGCAGCTGCTCTCTTCCGAGTTCCAGCGCTCCAGCGCACATGTGTGTGCATGCTCCAGTTCCGGCACTCAGTGCCAAAAAGGTTAGCCATCA